TTCTTAGGCAACATCAAGTATATCCTGGTGACAGGTGGTGTAATCTCCGGTATTGGGAAGGGAATCATTGCAAGCAGCGTTGGGACAATCCTGAAGTCTAGTAACTTACATGTCACATCTATCAAGATTGATCCATATATCAACATTGATGCTGGAACTTTTTCTCCCTATGAGCACGGTATGCAAGAAAACCAGTTGTTTTTTTTTTGTGTGCATGATTGTTAATCTACAAAAGAGATGAGTGTTAATATAGGTTCTGTTAGGACCTGTTTACACGATGGTTATTGCGGTAGCAACACATAACACGTGTTAATGTGATGAGGCACTATTACTGACAGACATGTGTTGCAGCGCAGTGCACTAATAGTCAATGTGGTGCACTGCTAGAAAATGGTGCATGCATCATTTGTTGACAGCGCATTGTATTTTAGCGGAAAAGTCTGTTTCTGAATGACACCTCACTGCACTAATGTACCTAACGTGGTAACACGGACATTACTGCAATGCATATTGTGAACAGTGTTCCTGATGTGTAATTTTAACCCTTTCGCTGCCAAGCCCTCCGGAACATTTTTCAAATCAGCTGGCCAAGCCATTTTTGAATTTTCTGCAATTTTTTCCTATTGATTTGATTTTCAACTGCTGCGTTGCTAGCGTTTGTAAAAGACCCCCCAAACCATATATTTTCTGAAAGCGCAGGCCCGGTAGAATAAAAAGATGGTGATACTAAATTTGTAGGCCCTGCGATAATTGCGCAAATGTTTCTCAAATTAATATTAAACCGATAAAAATACACAATTCAATTGTTAAAACACACTAAAATCAGTATCAGCGCACAAAAAAAAATAATTTTTTGACTAAATTCTAAAAGATAAAACTGTATTGAGTTAATAAATAATGGCGCCCGGTATTTTTGATAATAGCAGTCATCAGCGGCTTGTGAGCCGCTAATGACAGCTATTAATTTAAAGGGGACAGTCTGCTGAACAGTTATACTATAAGCTGATGGTCGCTAAGGCGACCATCAGCTTATAGTGGAACTGTAAATGCCAGGTCCGTATGGCATACTGAGCTGGCCAGCTGGAAGCACTTTTGTAGGTCCGTATGCCATACGCCCTTGGCAGCGAAAGGGTTAAAGACTAGTGTCTTGAATGCATTCGCCATGTCCTTTTTTAAATTAAAAATGTAGTCCTATTCACTCTCAGAACTATGGAATGGAAGCTATATGTGTAGCTGTCTTTACTGAAAGTTGTTGTTTTCAGTGAGTGTTTTTCAAGAACGTTGGTGAGATGTGTACAGGTAAGAGCTGTTGGTATGGCCTTCCAGAAGGCACAGTGCAAATGTAATTTTTTTTCATGCCAGTAAGCAACATTCTAAATGTTCTCCATGTTGCATAGTAGAGCTCAAATGTACACAAATATCATTAGATGCTAGGTAGTAACAAATACAATTTAGAAAATTGATGTTGATGCTTTTTTTTTTATTTTATTAGTACATCTAAAGGCTGCTGTATGACTGTCTAAAAAAAAAAAGTCCCGGATCCAGTTACTACAAGATGCATAAGCTTAATTATGTAAACAAATAACTGCCTTCACCCTCCCTGCTGTGAGCCAAGCCTTCTTTTATTTGTGTCCTATGCGCTTCCCCTTGCACCTCACAGCAACAGTGGCAGTGCTGGCAATCCATAAAGCAGTGGGCAGAACTAGGTGTGGTCAGGTGCTTATTGACAAGCTACAGGCTTTTTGAATCAACAGTGACAATGCTGATAGCCATGTCTCCAGCAACATTTTTCTATCCCACTGTAGTACAAGCAGAAAAAGCCTACTCGGCTCCCAATTCAGTAGTGCAACATTGTTGCCATACCATTACAAGAAGTGGCTTTAGGTAGACTTCAGTGGCAGAGGGACTAAGAAGATTGTTGGTGCAGTTGCACTTATAAAGTTTTTCAGCACTTCTTTTTTTTTTTTTAATGTGAGGCCATAGTTCTGCTGTTCGTATGCCAACACTGTCAAATTGCAATAGCCAATAGCAGGCTAGCTATTGCATCTGCCTGCTGTTAATCAGCAGAGAAAGGGCCTGAAGGAGAAAGTTCTCTATCAGGTTCTTCCATGCTGATTGACAGCAGGCAGTGGGTGGGTGCAATAGCCAGCTTGCTATTGCATTTTACAATATCCAATAGCAGGCTGGGTATGTCTCCCAGCCTGCAGATGAAGATGAGGCAGGGGGGTGGGGCAGAGGTGACGGGGGAACGGAGTGGCCGACGGACCAGGGGAAGGAGGCAGCGGAGCAATGCAGCGGTCTGTGCACAGGCGGGTAGAACAGCGGGGATTTGAAGGGACGCAAGGCCGCTGCAGCCACAGTTCTCCTAAATGTACCGGCGGCTGCTGGTACATTTTAGGAGTACTGTGGACCCCGTTCGTAAGTACGGATTGTCCGTAAGTCAGACGTCTGTAACCCGGGGACTGCCTGTACTTGGGAAGAATAGGTACAAAATGTACCTGCTCATTACTTCTTCAGGTCAAATAGATGCTTGTTGTTTAATTCCAATTGTTATAAACCTTGCATACACACCCATCTTAAAAATGTCTGTCGGTGGCATTCCTTTTCTTTTCAAGGTACTCAAATCTGTAGGACACATACACACTTTGCCTCTGGTTAAAGCTAGACTTGCAGTAAAGTGCAAAGTCTGTTTGCCCTCTCCTGTAGAAATCGCTGCCTAATAGTATTTTAAGAATGAAAAAGAAAAATCTTAGAATATATACTCGCACAACCCCTCATCTTTCACGCCAAGTGCAACTTGTCTTAGAGGCAGTCTTGAACATGGACAACAACAAAAATTTGGGTTTTCATTCAAAATAATTTAGTACATCTCAGGAATGATTTTCCATGTTCCCTGTGTTTGTGATTGCACTAGCGGTACTACATGTGTTACATTTTCTGCCACTAATGATTAATTTCATTTTTTTTTTTTTTTTCCGACTTTACCCGTATGACAATAAAAAAAATACCATCTTTTATTTAGAATAAAATACACAAATAGAGTGTTACAAACATAAATCTTCAGAATAAAACTGACATGCATAGCACATTTTTCATATTTGTGTGTGTGTAGGTGCACCTGACTTGTGTTTCCATTTCTATGGCCACATTCACGGGGGTAGGGGACCTTACATTTTTGTTTTGGTATTTTTAAATTAATTTTATTTACCTGTTTTTTTGTTTTGTTAACTTAATAGCTATCACATGGGCGGGGGGTTCAAAAGCCCCCCATGTGATAACATATTGGAGATGACAGGTTCTCTTTAAGGGTGACATTAGGGGTCTATTAGACCCCTAGGGTCACCTTTCCACTCTAAAGGAGCTATTCAAGCACACATGGCGTGAATAGCTTCAGCCAGGGAATGTAAACGTGTGCGTGTGTTAGCCAGCCTGCTATTGCAATTTGAAATAGCCAATAGCAGGAGAGAGTCCTCTGCTGATTTGTAGTGGGCGGTTGCAATAGCCAGCCTGCTATTGGCTATTTCAAATTGCAATAGGAGACCTGGCTATTGCACATACCCACTGCCTCTGAGCCTCTCCGACCAGTCCAGCAGTGCCTCACTGTGTCCAGACAGCTCTCTGGGTGTCCCCTCCAATACCTCTGCTGATACAGGTGGGGGAGTTGCAGGGTGGAAGACAGCAGCTACAAAGAGGCGGGGGGTGTGTTTGTGGATGCGGAACGACTTGTTGCAGCCCTAATGTTCTACCTATGACATTTGCTGTGTGTGCTTTTTCTTAGTTGATTACCTTATTCCACATTTCTCCACTGTTTACTTTTTCAAACTTTGCTGGTTGCTATAATGATCTAACAACATGGAAATATATCTAACCTAATAAGGCCTTTCAGTGGTGCATACTGTGCTGGTCACACAAAGCTGCGAAAACGACTACTACTAATGTTTGTTACTAATTGGTCTGTGTTCTTGTCACAGCTGTGTAATATGTAGAATACTTTACTCAAAATCTTATTTTGAATTTAGGTGAGGTTTTTGTGCTGGATGATGGAGGTGAAGTAGATCTAGATCTTGGCAATTATGAACGTTTCCTGGATATCAGATTAACAAAGGACAACAACCTAACAACTGGAAAGATTTATCAGTATGTTATTAACAAGGAGAGAAGAGGAGACTACCTGGGGAAAACTGTGCAAGGTGAGATACAAGAAAGCTGTGCGTTTGACAAAGCAGCTGCTGTCAAATGGTATGCCAAAATTGATGTATTAGAGTGACATATTCTTAAATCCCAGCAAATTACCTTCTATAGCCAGCAGCTTTGCAGTTCTGGATCTTTTTTCTTTTTGTTTATTCTATGTATTATACAGTAGGAGATCTGATGGGTCTAATGAGCCTCCATCTTGTTAGTGTTCTAACACAATTACCCTTATAATATTGTCTAGGGCTTGCACTTATATCAATTTTCATGTATTCCTGGAACAGCATTCTTGATGAATTAGTTATTTGTATATTAAAAATAAATGATGGCTAATGGTTGTTTGTTATTTGCAGTTGTGCCTCACATCACAGATGCTATTCAGGAATGGGTTATGCGGCAGGCTTTGATTCCTGTAGATGAAGATGGTATAGAGCCAGAAGTCTGTGTAATTGAGGTATACATATTCTGGTTATAAAGTTCTGTGAATTTTTTCAGCTTTCCACCTCGTTACCCATCCTATTACTCTTTGCTAAAATAAACCTAAAAATACAGTGATGGAATTTCATAAAAACTGGAGCAGTTGCCCTTGGCAACCAATTAGCATCTCTCTACAGTTTGCTCAGGTAAGATTTGAAAATGAGAGAGAGATGCTGATTAGCTGCAGTGCAAATCTGCTCCAGATTTTGTCTGCTCCAGTTTCGATAAATCCCCCCCCAAGTGTGTGTAAACAGAGTTAAACTTTATTCCCAACTCCAGCAAGAACTCTTTGTTCTTTTTAAATAGCATTCGGAAGGTTTTTTTCTTTAACCACTTGCTGACCGGGGTGTTTACACCCCCTTCCTGTCCAGGCCATTTTTCAGTGTTCAGCGCTGCAGTACTTTGACTGACATTTATTCCATCATGCAACGCTGTACTGAAATGAATTTTATACCATTTTTTTGGGGACAGATGGAGCTTTCTTTTGGTGGTAATTAATCACCACTGGGGTTTTTATTTTTTACTATATAATGAAGAAAATACCGAAAAATTTCGAAAACTGTTTTCCCTACGTTTATGTTAATAAACAATTATTATTACCCAAGTTTTTGGCAAAATATAAAAGACAGACAGGGTCACGTCGGGTAAATAGACACCAAACATGTACAGCTTTAAAATTGCGTGCGCCTGCAAACTCGCAAAAACTACCATACCCAAAATTGGCCATAGGCGACGCTTTAAATGCTTTTACCGCTCATCAGTTTAGTGTTATCAGTGATTGATGACCCTAGAATTATTGCTCTCACTGCGACGTTCACGGCGATATGTAGCATGTGTGGCGTAATGGATGCAATCGTCGTAGGCGCACTCGACGCATGTTTGCATGTGTATGTGGGGGGCGGGGGACTTAAAAAAAATATTTTAAAAAAGTCACATATAAAAGGTAATTAAAAAAAAAATGTTTTTTTTCAACTAATTCTTTTAAACCTTCTTTTTTTTTTTCACTTAGCTTTATTATCACATGGGGAACTAACAAGCCCCCTTTGTGATAGCCAATTTTCAGTGTCATGTCCTCCTTTTATGGAGACATCAGGGGTCTTTAAGACCGCTAATGTCACCTAGAGACCCCCAGAGAAGCTGATGAAGCAAACACCTGCTTCACAAGCTTCTCTCCAGTTTCTGTACCGGAGTGTGACAGAGGAATGCGGAAGTGATGTAATACACATCACTTCCTGCATTCCGAAGAGGAGGAGGAGATCAAACTGAGATCGTGTACTGAGCTCCGTTTGATCTCCGGCCGCAGAGCTGCTGTGCTATTCCCGGGCTCGCACCGGGCACAGCGGAGCTCGGGATCGCCAGCAGCAGCGGCAACGGAGGGGGGGGACGCACACCCGCAAGCATATTACAAGCGATCGGGCGTCTCTACAGACGCCCGAACGCTTGTATGTAAACAGCCATCGCTGGCTGTTTACATTCCAGGCTGATTTCCCGCGGGAAATCCAGGCGGGATGGGGCATTTAAAAACGCCCACCCGCATTCAAGAAGCCGCTGTCCGGCCGTTTATTTACAACGGCCGGACAGCAGGTGGTTAAAGACTATCTTTGTTGTCTTTTAAAATAACAACAAAGGTATCTTTAGAAATGTTTAATAATGACAATCTACGTACACATACTTCTAGATAATTGCAGGCTTTGTTATTATTTGCATACCATATTTTTGCTTTCTTCCCCAGTCTTCTGACAGTGTCCAGGGCACATTAATATATCTCCCTTTACTTCCTGGAACCCTGACACATGTGACTAGGACATGTGACCATGCACATCATAAGGGAAAGGCATTTTCCTCCCCAGAGATCTTGAGAGATTGCAGATGAGATTTCCCAGCAATGCTCTGCTGATGTAACCTTCCTGATGCAATGCTTGGGCACGATTACATCATTTGTGCCAAAGTGGCAGAGGAAGTGAATAAAAACTCTATTTGTAAGGAAATGAAAAGCATGGTTGTTTTAACTAATGAATGTAATAAGATTTTAAATCAGCATGCAGAGCTGTACGCTGATGTGAATTTTAGTCAAAGGAGGTAAGTTATTGCGCAACATAAAAATTTTCAACTACCACCATTTTATTCTATAGGGTCTTGGCATTCAGAAAATATATAATGTTGGGGGGTTTTACGTCATTTTCAGGCCTAAAATGTGGAATATAACATGGGTGCAAAAATTGAAAAAAGGGCCTCAGTCATGAAGGGGTTAACAGAGTTAAATTGGTGCTGCTGTGTTTTGGGGAGATGTCACCTCATGTTTATTCCTGTTAACCAGGACCACAAATTTGGAGAATTGGCACCACCAGCTCCTCAGGAGGGCACAGAAAGCTGTAAGAGCCTCACTGAGTTTTTGTTAAACCTTTCCCAAATGCACTGAAGAAGTGTTTAAGAATACATTCACACTAGCGATGGCTGTAGGAGATTATCTGGCAATATCTCTTGGCTGCGCTGTTGCTTGAATTGGAAGCTCGCCAAGGGAAGCACTGAAGTGAATGGCAGCCTAAACATGCAACATTCAGGTCAATTTGTCTAATAATGGTACATGCAAAAGTGTGTACTTGGCTGTATGGCTCAGTTGTTGAAAGGTGTTGAAGACACTTGTCAAGCTCCTACTTTTGGTACTCATGAAAATAAGGCTTTCGTATTATTGGTAACGAGGTCACATGAAGGGGTACGTTAACACATTCTTTCCTGTTTTTTGTTTTAATGATTGACACTATTTGCTGGTTGTTGACAAGCCCTCAACATACGTTTTTCCTCAAGTTTAGACTTCAGGCCTATAACTGTAGTCAGATATGATGCATTATTTAGCCACTTAGCTTAATGTGATACACCTGGCTTGCTATCATCAAGCTACAGAACTATTCCCCAGCTACACCTTTTAGGCCTGGTTCACACCTGGGCTTTTTACAGCGTGTTCCTACGCGCTGTAAAACGCTCAACATGTGAAAACCAATGATTGCCTATGGGCATGGTTCCCACCTGAGCGTTTTACAGCGCGCAGGAACGTGCTGAAAAACGCCCTACGGCCAAAGAAGTACAGGAGCTTCTTTGGGGCGTTTTTCCGAGCGTTTCCATTGGTATTCCCGAGTGTGGATCGGGGTTAACAAAGCGGTAACCCCGAGCCAAACTCGGGAATACAGCGTACAAGTCTTACCTTGTTCGCGATCCCCGCTGTGTCCTCCGGCGGATGCCGACTTCCAGGTTCCGTCCCTTGCGAGCGGCCACGTCGCAGGGGGGCGGAGCCGGCGGGAAGTTTGAAAGTGAAAATATATATTTTTTTTTTTAACAATAGAGAAGATTAGAAAAAAAAACAAAACATTATACCGCCAGTGAAACGCGCGTTTCACTGAACGGAAAAGCGTGCTGAAAAAATACGCTCTGGTGTGAACCCAGCCTTAAGGTGCCCATACACCTTACGAACATCGCAAGACCTTTTTGTCTTGCGATGGTCATAAGCTCATTGAAAGCTCGTACGATCTGCCCATCTTGGACGGGCAGATCGTACTTGCGATCATCGAAAGCCCCCCCCCCCTTGAGGGGCGGGCTTCCGATCACTGCAAACGGGCAGTGTGCGCGTGCGCACACCGGCCCGTTCGGCAGTTGTCGAACAAGCAGGCCACTAACCCGCCGAGAATCGTACGATTCTCGCCGGGTTTTCAAGCCTGCTTGTTCGACGGAAGACGTGCGACCGTACAGTAGAAACGGTCGCACGCCTTTCATACACTTTACGATTCTCGTACGATCGCGGGATTTCCGGTGTATGGGCACCTTTTTAGTGTTTGAGTATTCTTATCACAGTTGGAAGATAGTTCCATGTATTTCCTTTGAAATGAATGTTTTCCTACTTGACTAATAATCTTCATGTTTGCAGCTAGGGGGAACAGTGGGAGATATTGAGAGCATGCCATTTGTGGAAGCTTTCCGCCAATTCCAGTTTAAAGCTAAAAGAGAGAATTTCTGCAATATCCATGTCAGCCTTGTACCTCAGGTAATGTAATATATGCTTAATGATGGATAAATGTATTCCCCGATCAATTTTTTTACCATTCTTTCCAGCTTATCCTTTATTTTGTTCTGTGCATGAAAGCGAAACGATGTATTTGTGGTGGCTGCTGATAGTTTTCTAACGTGATACCTTGCGTCCTAAATGTGGCGTCAATCTGGAGCATAACTAGCTTTTTAATATATTATTCTCATCTGATGTTTTATGCAATCGTAGGAATTCTAGAAGTACAACATTGTTTTGGGGGGTTACGGGGGATGCATTTGTTTTGTTGTTTTTCCTTTTACTTTATTTGCACGTGATGATTCTGCCAGTAGCATGATTCAGTCCTAGGATCAGAACACTCACTCATGCAAATTTTATCAGGGCAACCGAAAAAACATAGGACACAATCTTGCCCCCCTCTCCTATTGTCAATAACATAGCTGTATATGTTTCTGTAGTCCTCAGAGCTAACTTAAAGCAATGTAATTGAGGAGAGGAGGGTATCTGCTCACAATATTTCTGGCAAGATCTACAGGTTTTCTTTTGAACATGGCACACTATAGATGAAAACACTTTAAATTATATATTTAAAATTAAAAAATAGTTAATTGTAAGGTTTTAGATATGATTTAATGAAATAAATGTTTTATACATTGAGCAATCTTTTAAGTACTGTACAAAACACCTTGCTATTCTTTCTAAGTAAATAATTTTTCTTCTGTTTTGCAGCCCAGTGCTACAGGAGAACAGAAAACAAAGCCCACTCAGAACAGTGTCAGGGAGCTTCGAGGATTGGGTCTCTCTCCAGATCTAGTAAGTTGTTGTTTGTGGCACGTGCCATTTTTGGCTTCTATTTTCTTTCTCTTGTGGCAGCAATTGTAACTTCCTTTTTATTACAAATTTATTCTGCAGGTTGTGTGCAGATGTACTACACCTTTGGACACGTCTGTAAAGGAGAAGATATCCATGTTTTGCCACGTGGAACCACAGCAAGTGAGTCTAAATGTTTTGCTGCATCTGTACTATAAAGTATAATGCCTCTATACTTGATGCCATTGCCAATACGTTGAACTCCCAGTATACCATCTTCACAAATACTGTACCTAAATGGAGTGAAATTATAATTCCATGTTGTTTCCACATTAAAGGTAACAATCAAAGATAAAAACACATGGTACTGCGCATGCTTGGCTATTCCTCCATAGAGTCTTTTAGGCTTGGAAGGAAATAGGCTTTCCATTATTCTTTGTGATAGAAGGCCGCCTTTGTAGTTTATATGGTGGGACAGGTCCAACGGGGTGCAGAGATTTTATGATGCACTGTCTCAGATCATCACACTGCTTACTCCTTCTTTTTTTTTTTACTTTATTCGGAGTGTACAAACTATATACTCCATTCAGGTTCCCACACAGCACTGCAGGGTGGTGCCCTGCAGTGCGACACATGTCTACATTTCTTCGCACAAAACACCCACATTGTGTGAATGGGGCACATAAAAATTAATTGTGTTCTAGCTGCTTTTTTGTTGTTGAAAAATGCCACCGCATATAGTGTGAACGAACCCTTAGACTTTAAGATTGTCACATGACCTACACTTCGGGTTATATTAAATGTAACAGTCCAGTCAGAAAAGTCAACTGCTCCAAGGAAATCTAAAACCCGCTTCTACGCAGGTGAGCTCTGAGGAGTCCTAGTATTATCACAACAGATCTGGTAGCTAGCTAAAGTCACCAAATAACTCACTGGTTTGGAATGGTTATATTTTGTTTTTGTATTAAGCATTCATATTTTTAAAGTTAAATGTGTTCACAAGTATAATAGTTTTATATTTGTATTATATTTACCCATTACATGCATTATTACCTAAGGTTTTAACTTTAATATAAATGTGATGGCAATAGAAATGGTTGGGTGATGTGGGTCCTGAATTTTTTAATGAAGAATAGAGGCCATTTACTATTGTCTGTGATGTCACTCAACATCTATCCAATTCACAACTGAACCAGAAGATGCTGGATTTTGATTCTCTTCAGTAGTTGGACAACAAAGACCATACTTCAGGCATTTGGTAAACAGTCAGTTATTATATATTGGCGACAAGTGGGTACAAAGTAAAAATTGAGGCAATATAAAAAGTTCATTGTTAAATGACAAATATGTTCATATATACCTTCCTTTTTGTTTTGTTCCTACATGAGATTTTTTTTCTTTTTAATGTATGTTTTGGAGTTGTGATCTTAAAAAATGATTCCATTGGCAGTTAGTAATTTTTGTAGTGAAAAACAAAAACCTTCGTGCATGGCTTAACATTTGAGTGGCTTTAAATGGTTCATATAGCACTGAAAGGATTAAAATATTAGACACTGCCTTCTTTGCAGCTGGGCAAGAACTGTTGCTAGTTGTATGTTGATATATTTAATATAATTTCACATCTAAAGCCTGTGCTATGCTCCTATCATTGAGTAAAAGGAATATCTCCTCTTCCTTTTTCCAGGTAATCTGTGTACATGATGTGTCATCTATATACAAAGTCCCCCTCTTGCTAGAGGAGCAGGGGGTGGTTGACTATTTTCGCACGCGTTTGGATCTTCCAATTGGTCGTCAGCCCCGCAGGATGCTTATGAAGTGGAAAGAGATGTCAGACAGGTGATCAAAGACCAGCTTGTATTATCATTGTTAGTGTTTTTACTGGAATCCAATCCACAGCAGTTTTAAAACCGAACATAGTTTAGAGCAGACTTAAATAGATCTTTGGGGATTTGCCATTGCTGAAAAAAATAGCTGCATTTAATACCTTCCTTTCTGCATGGAAATGGGCTTGGCAGTACCTCCGAAATACGGCTTGGGTGCATCTTGGGTACCCACCCACTGCAGCCACCGTATGACTGTTTGGATACCTGGTTCTGTAATAGGTACATTTATTTGTGTGTGTACATGTACAGGTAGCCCTCAATTTACGCTTGGGTTAGGTTCCTGAGCGAATGGTTGTAAATAGAAATCGGCTTGGAACTTAACTTCCTTTCCACTGACTAATATTATTTACTGGGTTTCAGTTTACACCATTTTCTATTTAGAAACATTCCACAAAAAAAAAGAAACATTCCATGTTTTGAGGAGAGGCCTGTAACCCAACTCCCTTACTTCTCATTGACATACAATTTTTATATTTGGTTTCAATTTTCAACACTCCAGAAAAGGGTGCTATTTTGAATCGGTGCAAATTGAACCGTTGTAATCCGAGGGCTGTGTGTGATATAACCGTTGTAATCCGAGGGCTGTGTTTTTATAAAAAAAAAATATATATCAATCACACACACACACACGTACCTCGGTTCACGAACGCTTCTTCGAACATGAAGTTCGGCAAAATTTAGCTTACGTTCGCGAACTCCGCATCGGGTGGCTAACACAACCGCAGCCATCTTCCCTGCTCACACATGGTCGTGGCTTCCTCTGGTCGAGAGCGCGTTCTGATCAGTTTGATTCGGTTCGCAACCAGAATCGTGGAACAAATTAAGATCATGAACCGAGTGTGTGTATATTACCCTTTTTTTTTCCTTCAAACGGCCACAGAGTACACTATATTGTCTCACGTTATATATTTGTTTTCTATCTAGATATGATCGCATGCTGGAATCTTGTAGCATTGCTCTTGTGGGAAAGTATACCAAATTTTCAGATTCCTATGCATCAGTTATCAAAGCATTAGAGCATTCTGCACTAGCAATAAACCACCGTTTAGAGATCAAGGTAAACCATTTTCTATTGTTAGTAAAATGTATAGTAGTAATCTTGTTTACATAACTGTGTTTTTGTATTAAAATATTGCATGTATTGCAGATTAGAAACAAAATAATGTAACCTAAGGCCTCATGAACATGGCATCCGAAGCTGCAGCTGGGGATTCCTGCGGATTCTTTCGGGAGGAATCCCAGGTGTCTATACAGATGCGGCCGTTGTGCCCATCCAAGTTAATGACATGCGTCCTCTCTGCATCCAGGGACAAGCATCTCTCTCGATCTGCAAGTAATCATTCCATGTATGATTATTTGCCGACAGCCACGGACAGATGTAGCCATTGTCAGCCTCATCTGTACGGACACACCTGGGATTTTTGTACCCAGTGTGGTTACCATGTCTCTGAACCTTGTAGTTGTATTACAGAATAAGGGACATGCTGAGCACAAGTATGGAGATGAATAAACATTTTGATAACTTGTCAGGTTTGGCAGATGATGCATTCAGATAAATTCAAGTGTGCTTACATTGTGACTTGTGGCATCTAATGATATACTAATGTACACTGACCATGCTATCTTCTGGCATGCTGAATTAGTTTAGACTGATTCTAGCACGCACCCCAAATACCCCCCCATCTTTGTTTCTGTTCAGTGAACGAGAAACACTTTTTAGATGGTTTTAACTCAAGAAGAATGTTTCATGTTGCTAGAACTATGTACTAGCATCGTGTATGTTTGTCTGTATTTTGTTTATAGAAAACAGACACTTTCTCTCCCGTTCATTGAAGGACACAGGGCAACAGATCGTAGATCCTGTATGGTAGGGTATATCGCCACCTGCAGGAGTAGGATGCTAGGCACATAACAAAAAGACAAAAAAACAGCCTAGGGGCTGCCCCTGCTGGTGGCCCAACCCCCCACCTGCTGACAAGTCTCCAGTTTTTTGCCTAGCGTCAGGAGTAAGGAGCTAAAATGTTTCTCTGGAAAATTTCTTTACTTTTTTCCGTTTTTATTTTTTCGCGATTCTTCTAGCAAGTGTCACCAGGGCGACATGCTGGATAGAGATGGATCCTTGTAGTCTCCCCTGGGTGGCCGTTTCTGCGTCGGCGCTCATGGTTCAGGAATGTGTACTGGTTGCGGCACGGGTGCGCGCCGTCCGTGTGTTTCTTAAAATTGAGGTGTCTCCTGGCTCTTCTACGCTGTCCTCGGTGCAGTTTGGGACGCATAAGAGCAAGCGCTCCGACAAGATGTTTCCCTACATTCCTTTTTTGATTTATCTATAAGCAGTGGAAACGCCCGACCAAGTTCTTTGCGGTTCCAGTGCGTTTCGCGGTTTGCTAGCAGGTTGCGGAGGACTTTTTGTCCAAATGGGCCTCACCGGTCTCCCGCTTGAACACTGCTACCTTTATTCCGGTGGTGGATCACCGTCCTTTAAGGATCCCACCGGTTGGTAGGCTGAGGCGGGTTTTTTGCACGCCTTATACTCTGTGTCGGGTGCGCTGTTCATGGGGTCAAGGCTGTTCTCCGTCCTCGACCGGCCTTCCTGTCTTAGGTCGTGTCGGCTTTTCATATGTATGAAGACATTTTTCTACCTCCCTTGTGCCCACACCCTGTCCGCAGGAAAGGGGAGGGCGCTACATTGCCTGGATGTGGTGCACGCTCTTCGTGTCTACTTGGGAGCTACTGCTTCTTTCCGTGAGACGCATTCCCTGTTTGTGCTCACGGGGGGCCCTAGTAGGGGCTGGGCCGCGTCGGCGGCTACCGCTCACGATGGATTTGTGATATGGTTGTTCAGGCGTATGCCGTTGGGGGGCGTGAGCCCCCTTTCCCTGTCACTGCCCAGTCTACTAGGGCTGTTGGAGCTTCCTGGGCTTTTCGCCATGGGGCTTCTGTTTCTCAGGTTTGCAAGGCCGCTGCCTGGCCTTCTGTTCACGCCTTTGTCTAGTTCTACAAGGTGAATGTTTTAGCATCGGCGGATGCTGGTTTGGGGCGCAAGGTTTTGCAGGCGGCTCTTTGGGTGCTTCTTGGGTTGTTTGTGTTTGCCCATCCCTCATTGAGTTACTGCTTGGTGACGTCCCTACCATACAGGATCTACGATCTGTTGCCCTGTGTCCTTCAATGAACGGGAGAGAAAATAGGATTTTTGTACTCACAGTAAAATCCTTTTCTCTCCGTTCATTGAAGGACACAGGTCCCGCCCTCTTTTTATGGGGGTGCACTCCTAACTGCTTGTTACTAACTGGAGACTTGTCAGCAGGTGGGGGGTTGGGCCACCAGCAGGGGCCGCCCCTAGGCTGTTTTTTGTCTTTTTGTTATGTGCCTAGCGTCCTACTCCTGCAGGTGGCGATATACCCTACCATACAGGATCTACGATCTGTTGCCCTGTGTCCTTCAATGAACGGAGAGAAAAGGATTTTACGGTGAGTACAAAAATCCTATTTTTGTCGTCTGTATTCTCTGTTATATTGCAGGCTCATGTACTCGTGTATCAAAAATGTGCTAACATTTATGTGATCCAGTAGCATTTTCTTCAGTGTAATTTTTATGTTGCCCCTGTTTTTACACAAAGCTGATTTTTGTACATATGTTTTGACAGTATATAGACTCTGCTGATTTGGAGCCAAACACCCTGCAGGAGGAGCCTGTGCGCTATCATGAAGCATGGCAGAAGCTCTGTAGCGCAAAGTAAGTAAAATGCAGGGCTACATCATACACATGCCTAAAGAGTCTCCAAACCTTTGTTTTGAGACACAATTCTCATAAAGCAAGGCTTGTTAAGTCCCAGAAAATGACCTGCGCCCAGACTATGGACATTAAAGTATTTTATACATTCCTATATGCAGCAAAAGATTTTTAAAACAAGCCATCACTGATCTCTCTTTTACGTAATTCATTCTTAAAGATCACAACAAAGGTTTCTCTTTCTTACGGAAACACTTTCTGTGTGTTTTATTTCTATTATATTATTAGATGGCTGGCAGATTCTCTCCGTGTAGCGCAAAAGAGGAAGCAACTTAATTTCAGTGCCTCTGTTGTGAACTTTGGGCTTATATAAAAGTGCTTTTACAGCATTTTTAATGCACACAGCATGGGTCGAGGGTCACTTTAATATTCAATGACCTTTCCAAACTTGGAAGTGGATTGTTTGATTTGTGGTAGTGGAGTGTCACATTTGTTAGGTTTCACGGGTTTACTAATTTGTTTCTACTATTTAAATACCAGTAGTAAAAACATAGAAAACATCACGATTGCTGATGTATTTTGTTAACTGTAACAATTATTTAAAGGCTAATATTAACCAAAACAGATGTGTCGGTTTTGCATGTTTGCTGTGAAGTTTTACATTCACATTTCTCGCTTGTACCCCTTAAAGTTCAGCAGAAATTACAGTTCTGTTCACTGCCACAGCCAATGCAAGACCAAGCAGTGGCATCAAGCTCCTTTTGTAATGTAGCTTCACTGCTTTGCTCCCAGAGGAATTTTCAATTTTTGCACACATTCACATCTGAATTTTGCTCTAGAAAAAGGGGTATAAAACCCCCAAACAACATTTTCTGAAAGCAGAGGCCCTGAAGAATAAAAAAAAAATGCCAGTAGCATTTGCGCAAATGTTGCAAAAAATTGATATTTTAGGAAAACCGTATACTAAAATTAATTTTAGTGCACACAGAATATTATACCCAATTTTAGGTAAAAATTAAAAGATGGTTTCATATCAGGTAAATATATCAAACATGTCAAGCCTTCAGTTAAATGGCAAAGTACGGTACCCAATTTGCCTATTTGGCAACAATTTAAAATTTAAAAGCTCTTGCCGCTCATAAATTTGTTACCAGTGAGTAATGGCCCTAAAATTATGGCTCTCACTCTAAAGTTTGTGGCAATATGCAACCCCATAGCCCCATGTATGTGGGGCAATCGTCATTTTCACACAAAGTTGCACCTTACACATGTTTTTGTCTATAAATGGTGGCAGACTCTCAGACTTGAACATTTTTCCAGGTTGCTTTTTTTTTTTATTTTATTTTTTTTTTTTATTACATGTTACTGAAATCGGATGTGACAAAATCCTTGTCTAGTTCTGTATTTAGTACACCATTACCAAGCTCCATGTTTTAATCCACTCCATTCCAGCATACACTAGATTGCCAAAAGTATTGGGACACCCCTTCAAATCATTGGATTAAGATCTTCTGTGAAATTTGCTTGCTACTAAATATTTAATGGTCAACTGTTAGTGGTATCATAACAAAGTGGAAGCAACTAGGAACAAAGCAACTCGGCCACAAAGTGGTAGACCACATAAGATGACAGAGCAGGGTCAGCGCATGCTGAAGTGCACAGAAGTCGCCAACTGTCTGCAGAGTCAATAGCTACAGACTTCCAGACTTCGAGTGGCCTTCAGATTGGCACAACCAGAGTATGTAGCAAGCTTCATGGAATGGGTTTCCATGGCCGAGCAGCTGCATCCAAGCCTTACATCACCAAGTGCAATGCAAAGAGTCGGATGCAGTGGTGTAAAGCACGCCACCACTGGACTATAGAGAAGTGTAGACGTGTTCTCTGGAGTGACGAATCACGCTTCTCTGTCTGGCCATCCGATGGACGTGTCTGGGTTTGGTGGTTGCCAGGAGAACGGTACTTGCTTGACTGCATTGTGCCAAGTGTAAAGTTTGGTGGAGGGGGGATTATGGTGTGGGGTTGTTTTTCAGGGGTTGGGCTTGGCCCCTTAGTTCCAGTGAAAGGAACTCTTAAGGCATCAGCATACCAAGACATTTTGGACAATTTCATGCTCCCAACTTTGTGGGAACAGTTTGGGGATGGCCCCTTCCTGTTCCAACATGAATGCGCACCAGTGCACAAACAAGGTCCATAAAGACATAGATGAGCAAGGTTGGGGTGGAAGAACTTGACTGGCCTGCAGAGAGTCCTGACCTCAACCCGATAGAACACCTTTGGGATGAATTAGAGCAGAGACTGCGAGCCAGGCCTTCTCCTCCAACATCCGTACCTGACCTCACAAATGTGCTTCTGGAAGAATGGTCACACACTCCCATAGATACACTCCTAAACCTTGTGGACGCCTTCCCAGAAGAGTTGAAGCTGTTATAGCTGCAAAGGGTGGGCCAGCTCAATATTGAACCCTACGGACTAAGACTGGGATGCCATTAGAGTTCATGTGCGTGTAAAGGCAGGCGTCCCAATACGTTTGGCAATATAGTGTATTTCTTAATTTCCAAAAAATTCTGCCAAATAATGAAATCCCCTTGGAGTGTTACTTCCCAAAAATGGGGTCATTTTGTAATGTCCTGGATTTTTTTGTTTTAACAGTAAATAAGGGAAACAGGGTTTGTTTTTCAAACTTTTTTGGTCCCCCCCCCCACACATATATACTAAAAAGTTTTAAAAAAACCTAGTGGTTAAAGAAATCCAGGTTTTATTTAATTTAACCCTTGCAGTGGGGCTACCCCCGCAATGCAAGGGTTAAGTGCATGTTTTGGTCTAATGGACAAAAAAAAAGATATAGTGACCGCTTACCTCAACCCCCCCCTTTCCCTCCTCCTCCACTCCAGCTGTCATATGTCCCTCAGTGTCCTCACATCTAATAGACCTGTATAAAGCTGCCCACATACTTTACAATTTATCTGCAGATTTTCTGTGGTCAGATGGAAAAGGTGCAACAGATTCCTCCATCTCCACTTAACTGTGTGGATGGAATAATCTCCACCTGGGCCAATCTGTTTCACTTTTTCCATCTGACCACAGAAAATCTGCAGATAATTCTAAGGTGTATGAGCACCTTTAGACATGACACCATGGGTCCTTAGACCGTTGGAGCCCGGGTGGAGAAGGGGCTAGCAGTCAGGAGGAACAGAGTATCAGGTGAGTATATCTTCTTTATTTTCATCCCCAGACTGACATGAGCACTTAACTAAAAGGATTCATTTTTAATAAACATTATAATTGTATTACAACCAAGAGCAGGGGTATGGAATTTTTTTTTTAAACTACTTGTCCAAGGACTAAAGCGGGGGCCCGATCTACTTGTCCTGATACAAAAAAAAAAAAATCAACCAAAACCGTATTTAGCAGTGCCAAGAAGAGCTTCTCATTGGTCAGTGCTGTCAGGTGACGGGGCTGACCAACGACTGCTGAGAAGTCAGAATACATGGTACAGATAGTACACTCGTACTGGCGGATGGGAAGGACCGATTGCTGAAAGGTAAGTATAGCAGGGAGGGAGAGGGTGCAGATTTGTGCCGGTAATTCCATTTTCCCAAATTACTTGGGAAAGTGAATTTACCCTTTTGGGGCGGGTGCAGACTTGGACGGTCATATGTGGTTGCCATGCGGCCCTATTCATTTCAATGGGGTTGCATCCGCATGGTAACCTTTTTTTTGCGACACGCACCATGCAGTGTTTTCAGCCACGATATGTGCGATTGCAGCAGGAAACCGCACAATCTGCCTGGTGCGACTGGGGTGCTATTAGACAATAATGTCTAACCACCAGTGCAATCAGTGGTGGTGTGCGATTCTGTGACCACCTGGCCATCCACACGATTTTGTGCACAATTGCCGTGCGTTAACTGATCGCTCACACGCACAATGCCCCATGCATGCATTTATTTGCATGTAGAGAGGTGCAGCGTGGTTGGTTTTAATTTTTTAGATTTGATTTTACTTTTTTCTTTTTTTTTTCTTTTTTAATTATCATTTATTTCTACTTTTATCACTTTTTTTTTTTTCCCCATTTTTATTAGTCATTTTTTTCCATTTTTCTGTATTTAAACACCCGGTAACGGGTGTGTGCATTTAGCGGGTCTTTTCTGCCCGTGCGTGCCCGTGCGTGCCCGCTAGGGGGGGCGCGCGAGCAGAAAAAAATTGCCCGCAGATGCTGCAGTGCCGTCCGTCCGTTTTTTTACTACGTTTTTTTACTACGGGCGGACGGCAAGAGGTTAATATATATTTTATTTTTTACTTCTTTTTTTTTTGACTTGCCTTTATTGACTTTTACAGCGGTAACAAGCCCTTGTGTGATAGCTTTTGGAGGTGACAGGTTCTCTTTATTGACCCTATCACCTCCAACACAGGAGTTGTAGCACAGTTCTGTGTGCGTTCTCCTGTGACAGGAAGGCTGCATTCCTGTGTCACTATTCACACGGAGCATAATAGAGAAGCGTTCTCTACTATGCTCCGTGCTGTCTAACCTAATCTAATTTGCTGTGGTCACAGGTCTCCCACAAGAGCGGGGGACCACGTCAAAAAGGAAGCCCGTGTGCAGAGAGAGGGAGTCGGGAGCGGTACACCCCCGGACGCCGGCGAGAGAGGGGAGGGGGAGTGAGCTTTAGGCCGGTTTACAAGAGATTTTTGGACGGCTGTACAGCCATTCAAGGTAACTTGTACGGAAACGGCTCCCACACTACAGTTAGCCGGTTAGTGGTGCTGTATTGTGTGAAGGAGTAATTGTTAGTCAAAGAATCACAGTATTGGAAACTGAAAAATGGCCTGGTAATGAAGAGCTAATACAGGGTGGTACTCAAATGGTTAAGTAATCTTGAATTTGTATTTAGTGGTGTGCTGGTCCCTGGAGGATTTGGTGTTCGCGGTACCGAGGGCAAGATTCAAGCCATATCCTGGGCACGCAGACAGAAAAAGCCATTCTTAGGTGAGTTTTATATACACATGTAATCCATTTTTAGTTACCTTTTAACATTTGTAATAGTGATATGCTTATTTTACATTGCTGATTTTTTATGTTTTCTCATTTGCAGGGGTCTGTTTGGGGATGCAGCTAGCAGTTGTTGAATTTTCAAGAGAAGTCCTGGGCTGGAAAGGTATTGTATATCAGGCTTGTTTATTAAGAAATTGTAGTGTTGATTCTACCTTTTTGTTGTATGATGGCACTTTTGCTTACTATTTGGGTGATTATACACCAGTTCATGGTGTCAATGCCCCCTAATAATAATAACAAAAGTTAAATGTTATAACAGATCTCAGCTGTGGTACAGACCTGCTATTTATAGCTTCATCCTTTTACCAGGTAGTGTTTACATTTTATGTGGAGATTAACACCTCTGTTACAGGTGCGCCTCTGGGTCATAGAACTAAACAGGAAAGCCACCTACCTCCACATTTCAGTTAGACAGCTCTTTGGGTTATAGAGATAAATTAGAGTACATGCAGAGATCCAAATTCTTTTTTTATATACTTAGACTTTTTCTCTCAACAGATGCCAACTCTACAGAGTTTAATCCAAAAACAAGTCATCCAGTGGTAAGTGTTCACTTTGTACAGTCTATATAATTATGGCTATGATGAGGTCTACTTGTAAAATGGTTTGCCATCTCTCTTGCTGTGAAATTTTTTTAGTACACGTTGACCTTTTAAAGTGCTTAATTAATTAAATGTTGTCTGAATGGGAAGTAGTTGGCATTATCACATTTTGGCAGACAAGATAACAAGGCGAGTAGACTAAAATATGAAGTGATGGTAGAGGAGGCCTTATGATGGGGAAGATTATATTTCACAACATTTTAGTCAATTAAATCAGAAGTGGGCTGTATGTTCTGTTCTTCTTCCTATCTTGTTTCCTTTAAATGCTTCAGCATACTTAACGGTTGTTGGAATGTAGATACTATTTTCCTATGAATAATTGTTAGTGCATTTGCTATATTGTTCTGATTACTGCATTGTAAACAGTGGTATAGTAGTGGTAATTCTTGTTTATTTGATGTATTTCAGGTGATTGACATGCCTGAGCACAATCCAGGTCAGATGGGGGGCACCATGAGATTGGGGAAGAGAAGAACTATATTTCATTCTCAGAATTCAGTTTTACGTAAGTAATGATGTTTGCGAACTGGTGTGTGCCAAAAACATTTGCCAGCGCCTTTTCTTTATACAGTGATAAACAGAAGTTGTACTAATGCTTTGAGTTTTTTGAGTTTCTACCACAATCATTGCGTAGAAGTTTAGTGGCTGGGGATGGCTCCATGCAATTGTTTAAGCAGAAAATGCATTAATTCGTTAAGGTACAAAGAGTCTTGACAGTTTGAAACAGCTAGGTTATACTGCTGCCTAACGGAGATCAACAGTTAGTGTCCAATCAGTCAAGTATAACCCCTCCGACTCCCATAATGCTTAATTTTAATGCTACTGTCTTAGACTGGATGTATGCTCTCTCTGAGACCAGCAAACTCTTCCCACTAGGCTTTTTTCTTTCTTTGCTTAAGCTTCTTCATTTACTGCCGAGCCAAAAGAACTTTTATGCAGGTTTCTGGATCAGCTGATCCTCGGCATAGCCTTGGAGGCTTTACCCACACCCTGGGGTGCTGAAAATGCGCAACTGGCCTGTAATGTGACCTTGGGGAGCTCTCCAGACATCTGGTTTGAATTAGCTGCAGTGCTTTACAGGTCCAGGGCGTAGTACACTGGCTAGTGGAACCCTGTCCCTGAAGATTGACTAATGTGTATGCCACTGGAGGGATGAACACTGTCAGGGGCTTGTTCTCTGGGTTATGCATTGGCACTCTCTAGCACTGACTGTGTTTGGTGGCTGCAGAGTGTCTTCTGGACCACCCCAAGTTACAGAGCTTTGCCCTTCTGAAGCCTGGCATTCTCCAGCTGCCCCCCTACTGGTCTTCAGCTGCCCCCTACTCGTCTTCAGCTGCCCCCAAACAAGGGGTAATGCTCAGAGCTCTGGCTGCAACACCGAAATTAGGTTATATGCTTCTGCTGCAGTTGGTTTGTAAGTACCCCTTTTCTGGAACCTGCATACTGAATGTAAATAGTAGCAGTATGCCGATCATCTGGGCATCGGGCATGTCCTCTGGGCACTTCCGGCTTGTGCTCCATTAACCGCTTTTGGACAGCTTGCAGGGCCTGAAACGAAAAGCCTAGACAATTGCCCCTTGCTGGAGTACTCACGCTCCTTGGAGGCTTCCTTAATCCACCCTCTTAAGTGTTAACAGACCTGTTTGTTATTCAGAAAGGAATTTTCTCTGACCATGTTAGATTTCACATGACAGGAGAACTGTCATCTATAAAATGAAACGTGAGCACCACAACCTGGCGCACTAAGAGATGACAAGGAGAAGGGGGAGAAAGAATACTAAATGGTACTCACACAGTAACAATGTAGATGTTCAATATCATATAGCATCCACAGTAGTTTGCCTGACAGGCTCCTGGAATATTTGTTTAGATCAAAATGACAGGTTGATCATCTGGTAAAGGAACACAAGGTTGTAACCAATAAACAGGAAAACATAAAATTGCATGCACCCTAGTGTGTCTTTGGGAAGTTGCCCGTCAATGATAACGACCTGTGACTCCACTATGGGTATATAGCCTTGCTTCTCTGTAAACACTGGTGTCAGGAAGGAGTTCTGTAGATGACCAACGACGACTGTGTTCCTTATTCCCTCACTGGTTCTCAAGGCAGAGCGGCAGCTGGAGTTAGCGGTGCTGTGGAGAGAAGAGGTACGCTGAAACAGAAGCGTTGTCTGTCGCAGCTTCTCTGAAGCTGCGACAGACAACGCGGTGGTGAAGCGGTGGTTGTTGGTGCCAGGGGGAATAAAGGGGAGCCTGCAGAGTATGGCAGCGGCGGCTTTCTATTTCTTTCTCACCAGCCGACACAGCAGAGTGGCAGCTGGAGATGACAGCGTAGTGTAAAGGGGGAGCCGACTCCAGGACGGTCCTGGGAATAGTGATGACACTGGGATGGCAGAGGGTCTGTGGGCCGTGCTGGTGAGGCGGAATGTGAAGAAGGAAACGCGTATTGAGGATTCAACCTCTTAAGCTTTGTTTTAGCCATGGTTCTGGTAAAAAGGTTTTGGGATTTTCTACACGAACCTGTTCACTTTCCTCAAAGCAAAAGGTGACTTTTGCCCCTTTTGGAATCTAAAGGCACTCGATGTCTTTATTTAAAGATTGCAAAATTTGCACGTGGAATCTATTGAGTCAGTCATTGTTTCCTTCCATTTTGGGGACTTTCTGGCCTCTGCACTTCAAGGGTGCCTACTTGCATTTCCCCATCCTTCAGCACACCAACGCTATCTGTATTTTGCTGTGGGCATCCAACACTGCCAGTTCATTGTCCTTCCCTTTGGTCTGTCCACTCTGCCTTGAGTCTTCACCAATGTGCCCGCCCCTATACTTGCTCTGCTTTGTTCACAGGGCATCCTAGCAGTGGGATACCTAGACAACCTTCTCCGGAGCGAACAGTCAGCACAGACCTTGTCTGTCGATGTCCAACTGTTCAGACACTATAGAGGTTTGGTTGGACCTGAACCTTCAGAAGTCAGCACTGGATCAGACTTGAGTCACCTGCAGTATCTAGGTCTTCTATATATTATTCAGTCAAGGGTGTTTCTTCTGCTCCCATGTTTAACTGCAGTCTAGGAGTCATCCAGCCCTCCACTTTTGCTTGATGTTTGCTTCTTTCGAGGCAATTCCATATGTCCAGGGCCACTCCAGACCGTTGCAACTTGGCATTCTGGCTGCATTGGATAAAAAGGCACACTCTTTGCACAATTGCATAAGTTATCCCTGTCCTGATGGCTCACAAATCCAGCCTTGGAGTCGGGGAAATCTTTCCTTCCGTCGGTCTGGAAGATCCTCATAACAAATGCCAGCTTAACAGATCAGGGGACGTTTTTTGACATGTTATCCATGCAGGAGACTTGGTTGTTGAAGTATGGCAACCACCAGGGAGGAACCAAACGTTTTGCAGTTAAAGAAAAGCTGCCCATATTCCATCCCTGTTCATGATGCACATTCTAGGTGTGGAAAATTAGCAGGTGGACTTCCTCAGTCATCAATGTCTGCACCCTGGGGAATAGTCTCTTCACCTGGAGGCATTTCAACACCTCTGTCACAGGTGGGGAACCTGGCTTCCCGATTCAACAACAAACTGGGCAAGTTTGTTTCCAGGTCCAGGGATCCTCTAGCCGTGGTAGTGGATGCTCTGGTGACTTTGTGGAGTCAGTTTAATTAGATCCATGCCTTTCCTTCTCTGAAGCTTCATCCACTGTACAGAATTGAAATAGAGGGCATTCCGATTGTTTATTACGCCCAACTGGCCCAGGTGGATGTGCTACACGGACCACATCAGACTTTCCAGAGGCTTGCCCAAATCTTTTGTCTCAGACTGGTTAACCACTCTTTAGTGTTGATGGCTTTAATGGTATAGCTGTTGAAGGCCATTTCCTAAAAGATGGGGACCTCTATGATTCCATTATTCCTACACTACTACACTGCGTGCACAATTATTAGGCAAGTTGTATTTCTGAGGATTAATTTAATTATTGAACAACTACAGTGCTCAGTTGATCCTAAATGTTAAACTTCAAACCTGAATATTTAAGAAAGTAAAAGTGAGGTTTTGGCTGTCTTAGGAGAACATCTGTGTGCACAATTATTATGCAACTAAATGGAAAAGGAAAATGTTCCCATCTCACTTGTTTGTTTTCATCTGTTAAAGTGAGAATAATAAACAAGCAACTCAAAATTTCGTCTGAGTCGAAGTGGAGCTCTGTGCCCGTTACTGATCCAGCCATGGGCCCATCAAGAGTCACTCTCTCATCAGTTCATAAAACCTTTGAGAAATCTGTCTTTATATATTTTTTTGCCCAGTCTTGATGTTTCAACTTGTGTCTTGTTCAGTGGTGGTCGGGTTTCAGCCTTCCTTACCTTGGACATGTCTCTGAGCACTGAACGCCAGGTAGGTTGCAGTTCTGGAATATGACCGCACTGGAGGATAACTGGTTCCTTGGAGCTTCACGTTTGATTCTTAAGTCTTTGGCAGTTTCTTGCGACACTGTTGACTATTTGCAACAAAAAGTTTGAGGGTTCTGTGATCACGTCCCAATATCTTGGCAAATTCCAGAGGGATGCAGCCCTCTAAAAGACTTTTTACAATTTTTGACTTTTCAGAGTCAGTTAAAACCTCTTTTTTTGGCTCATTTTGCCTGAGGAGAAGAAGCTGCCTAATCATTATGCACACCTTTTATATTGGGTGTTGATCTCCTTAGGCCACACCCTCCCTCATTACACAAATACACATCACCTGATATGCTTAAATCCAATAAGCCTTCAAGTTTATACAGCTTGGAGTTAGGACAATATGCATAAAATAGGTGATTTGGTCAAAATACTCACTTAATAATTGTGCACACACTGTAACAGCTAGGAAGTCCACCTCTTGCAAGCTTTACCATTGCACTTGGAAAGTGTATGTCACAGTGTGAGGCAAGGAATTTTCATTCTAGGACATACTCTGCGGGTTGCATACTGATCTTTCGCCAGTCTGGATGAAGATTAGGTCTTAAATACTGTCACAGGTCAGATCTCGGCTTTCACAATTCTTTTTCAAAGACCACTTGCCTCCCATTCCTTGGTGCAATTCATTGTACAGGGTTATGCTCGCATAGTTCCTCCTGTACGTCTGCCTGTGACTCTGTGGGATCTCAACCTGGTTCTGTTGACACTTCAAAAAAGACCCTTTTAGATTTCCCTCTATTGTTTGGCTGAGGGTGTGAGCTGTTTAGGTTTTTATATCTCGGTTATGACTTATCAGACTGACTTTTTTTTCATTCCGGAGGCTCCCCATAAGGGACTATATGCCTCTTATTCCTCCATTTCTAGGTGGCATAGGCAGCTCATTATTCAAGCCTATAAGCTTAAGGACAAGGTTCTGCCTTTTCCTATCAAAGTGCACTCCACTAGTTCAGTAAGTGCTTTTCAGCATTAGGCATCTGTTTCTCAAATTTGCAAGGCTGCTACCTGGTTGTCTGTTCACTAAATTTTACCATTTGGTCCTTCAGGTAGCTCTGTGAGCTTCAACTAGTTTTTTGTTGGCCTGTTAACATTTTGTTTGCTGTGTTGCCCACCCCTCAGTTGCTGCCTTGGAACAACCCAGTTGTCTGAGTCCTTCTGACCTTGTGTCCCTTAATGAACTCCAAGAAAAGGATTTCCTGGAACGTCAAAAATCCTGTTTTCATAATCATTCATTAACGGTCCCACCCCTCTGCCTTATGATCCCCTCCTACTACTAGTTCTCCACAGATCTGAAGCTAAATTGGAGTGTGATGGGTTATATTTGACTAACAGCTTTTGTTTGCCAGTGCTCAATCTCCTGTAGGCAGCAATATACCCCAGTTGTCTCAGAATTCTTCTCACCCTGTGCCCCTTTATAAACGCCAAGAATCGGATTTTACAGTAGGCTAAAAATCCTGTTGTATGCACTCAGCTGCTGCCCTGGGCAAGCATTAACTTATCAGGTGTAAGGATACCTGATCTATACTGTTCTTAATATACTTGTAACAGGCTAGTGGTATGTCTCTCCTCACAGGTTACCTAATAATAAATGCCATATGTAAACCTGAACCTTGGAATGTAGACTATTGTGGGATAATATATCTCGCAATAAGCACACTTTTTTCTGGTCCATCTGTGCCACCCATGCCTTTTTCTATTTCAGGGTAAAACAGGAACTGATGCAGGTTCCATGCCTAATTAAGAAATAGATAATGGCAGTTTTCAGAATAGACAACTATAGCAGCTCCATGTATCCTGCTCACTATGCTGTCTGGCTCAGGCACTTAGAAAATGGAGCAGACTGCTCCTAATTAACAAGGGATAAGCCCTTTTTATTAGGAGCAGGATCTGCTGTTTTTTTTCAGTTTAGAAGAGGGGCACAAGCTTTATTTCTTTGTCACTCTTTACTAATCTCCCCCCCCCCCCCCCCCTAATTTTTTAAGCTCTTCGTTTGTCTTTGTAGGGAAATTATATGGTGGCCATGAGTACGTAGAGGAGAGACATCGGCACAGATATGAGGTAATTCACTTATGAAGTATAATGTTTTTCTACCTCTGTATCCTTCAGTCTCTGTTGTATTTATTTTATAATACCTATCTGTGTTATCCCCCATCTTATCTACTTTATCAGCTTTCAACATTATATTTCCTTTTCCTTTAATTTTTACAACTATCAGTCTCCGCCCGATTGTAAAAGCATTATTTGAATATGGCTTACTACTACTAACATGACCTGGATAAATGAGAATCCTAAAGCTGAAATAGGCAAACATACAAATGAATGCAGCTCTGCAATCATTAATACATGAAATATACTTTTAAATGAAAGCAGTGTAAGTACTTGATTTCACCTAATAGCAGCCTCTTGTAGTTCCCTATTTAGTAAGCTCAGACTGGAAGAGGTAGTAGCAGCACAAGGGCCAGTTAGTTATGCTACTTTTACTGCCTAGTCAAAGGCTGGGGAAGGGACACGACCTGTAATTGTTAACTGCAGCAGAGAAAAATCAGGTCACCTCCCAGACAGGGTTGTGCTGTGTGACAGAGCTGGATGGGTAGAAATATCCTTTGGCAGGTAAAACCGCTCCCATATATGTATTTTATTTGTGTAATTAGCGGTTTGCCTGGAATCCAGCTTTAACCCCTTAAGGACGAAGGCCTTTTTTTCATTTTTTTTTGTTTACATGTTATAATCCACATTTTAGGCCTAAAAATTGCTTAAAACCCCCAAACATTATATATTTTATGAAAGCCAAGACCCTATAGAATAAAATGGTGGCAGTGGCAAATTTCTATGTTGCACGACAATAGCGCAACTTATCAAACCCAGAAATGTAGTGAAAATGCACTTAAGTTAAATTTAGTGCCCCTAAATATTATATAAAAGCATTTTTCTGTTTTGTAAAATATAAAAGATGAGGTTCCAACAAGTAAATAGATACCCAACATGCCCAGGTTAAAAATTGTGTGCGTCCGTGAAACTGACAAAATTCAGTACCCCAAGGAGTCCATAGATTACGCTTTTAAAAGCCCCTAGAGGTAATCAGTTTAGAGATGTGTGTAAATCTTGGCCCTAGAATTATTGCTCTCACTCTGGCATGTGCGGCGATACCCGACGCGTGTTTGTGACAATGTGCAAGCTTGCGGGGGACTTTACAAAATATTTTATTTTTACATTTAATTTTTGTTATTTTTAAAACTTTTTTTTTTTTTACTTCCCATCACATAGGGGGGCTTATAAGCCCGCCCATGTGATAGCAAATTGGCAGTGCCAGGTCCTCTTTATGGTGATACTGGGGGTCCAAAAAGACCCCCCTAGTATCACTTTTACACTCTAAATAAGCTATTGAAGTGCACTTCTGGGGGGCAGTACGGTTACCGGATCGTAGAAGCGATCTGGCGGCAGCTGAGCCGCCAGAATCGCTTCTACTGTAAAGCAGGCCGCCGGCTCTACAAAACTGAACAGACTCCACCGGGAGTCTGTTTAACACCTTCAGACTTCAAGATGGGATTATCCCGTCATGGGTCGTGAAGAGGTTAAAGTACTGTGTAAGCTTTGTGGTGGTTTTGTTAAATTATAGACCGAGTGTCTAAAACTCCCCTTTTGGATGTGTGTGTATCTATACTATCCATCTTCATAGTGCCACATATATAAAGGAGTTATTTTGTAGTTTGGCATCGTTCTCACTACATGCATTACTGCATTTCACCTGTTGAACTGATATATGGGTTTACATCTATTACATTATGGCGGGGTTTCCCAACTGTGCCCCTTAAGTACCATTAAAGCTGTTAAAAGATTTTAACCCTACATCTTATTCAAGTCCGAGCATGGTCATATGCTCCCCTATACCTGGAAACCCGGCTTCATTAGAGAATTGAGTAAGGGAGCTGACGGGGTAGGCAGCAAAAGAGCAGGTTTAACAAAGTAGTCCTGGGTTGGGGTTCTATCAGGAAACACTGTCACTTTGCCCTCAATTGGCAAAAAGTCACGGTGTCCCTTTATTTTTAATGTCATTCTTGTGTCAGATTTGTATATAATTTTTTCTTCTTCTCTAGGTAAACCCAGAGCTTAGACAAGACCTGGAGGCTCGGGGCCTGGCATTTGTTGGACAGGACACAGAAGGAGAACGAATGGAGATAGTAGAGTTAGAAGGTGAGTGTCTCTAAACTTGACTACTGTGTGTTCTTACCTTTTTTTTTTTTTTTTATATTTAAAGTTAACTTGTGAGAGAAATAACAGGGGCTGTCTTTGCCTTTTAAAAAGCACTAGTTACCTGGCCGTCATGTTCTCGCAGGCTCCATCCAATACTTTGAGTCACAGCACCAGTCCAAATATACAAATGAGGAAAGTCATAAACGCTTCAGTTGACCTTTTCTGGGTCAGCGACTCATGCCATTCAGCTAGCATTTTTAGGAGTTGTGAACAATGGAAGCATCTGTTGCATCTGTTGCATCTGTTGCATCTGTTGCATCTGTTGCAATCATGAGAAGTGTTAGACGTTCAAGTACCGAGGTTATGCTGGGATTGCAATATTGTATTCTTGCACATAACATATAGAATTATATTTAAAGGAGAACTACGTGGCAACCTTTTTGCCCATAGTTGTCTTCAGTGTCACTGGAGGACATATACTAATGTCCTCCAGTGACCCAAAACTCAGCATATAACAGGCTGCGGGGAGGGGTGACTGACAGTCGCCACTCTGCAGGGAGAGGATCAGGAACTCAGCGAGCGGCGGTATGTGTTCGCTGACTTCCCAATCAATTGAGCCGACCTGTGACGGCTTCAGAGTCACAGGACGGCTTGAATTATGGGGATGAATGTTTTTCACTCACCCCATAATTCTCCTTATTAGTTTTTATTTGTACTCTTTGGATTTTAATTCTTATAACATAAATTCTTATTTTTCTAGATCACCCATATTTTGTTGGCGTTCAGTATCATCCAGAGTTCACATCCCGCCCAATCAAACCTTCCCCTCCATATTTTGGCCTGCTGCTTGCCTCTGTGGGGAGGCTAGCCCAGTATATTGAGAGGGGATGCCGCCTCTCCCCCAGGTAACATTTACTGGAGTATTTTGTGTATATCTGTGGACATCTACTGCTAAAATAGAGTGACCTTGGCTCCTAAAAAAACATGTTTTTTAATTGCTATAAAACTGCCTAAGTGGCCATAATGATTTCCATAAACAGAGGAATGACGGTTAACAGGGGTACTGTACTTCCTTTAATAAAATGATGGCAGTGTTCAATAAATGACCTGTGCCTGCTCTTAGGCAAAATGTTTCACTTTTATATTTAAAATGTAACAGGGCTGGTAGGATTGCTCTAATGCAGAATTAAAAAGCCACTTCTGGCGCCCAGGGTTTCTTCTATAATGTGCAAATATGCACATTGTGGCAGGCTTACTTGCCAAAGCACCCCACTTCAGCACTGCAACCGTTTTCTTCCGGGTTCATCATCTTTGGCCAGCCTAGGGTGATGGGAGTAATTTCATCTTGGCACTTTGTAGATGCTAGGATTGTACACTGAGTGACACATTCACAAAACACTGCTGTCAAGCAGGTAAGCATTTTTTATTTTTTTTAGTACTTGGAGTTTTCGTTCCATAGAACATGCGATATTGTTAAAGGTGAGGCTCTTGTTCATTGTTACAGCTTTCTAAACTGACTAGTCTCCTTCAGTGAAAAAACGAACCATTAAATTAATCGGGAGTTCCTAACCGGATATATGCCAAGAGCAGCTGTTGGCTCATATCTGTTCTGATACCCTGGTATCACCATCCAACCGAACTAGATATTCAAATAATGGCTCTTGCAAAGTTGTGGTTTGCTTTTTTATAGGTTCCTCTATTCTTGTGGTATTGCCCCAACCTGCTGATAGGTTGATCAGGCCCTTTTGTGTGAATGTCGGGGCAAAATAACATATACAGTACATCACTGCAATACATGGACATTTCCCTATATTTAATCCCTTTAAAGACCCCCTGCAAGCACAGACTATCTGACAGAAATGCACTTGGCTCTTGAGCCCTGTTGTGGACTGACAACATAAAGAGGGGAATTTATCAAAACTGGAGCAGACAAACATCTGGAGCAGTTGCCCAGGGCAACCAATCAGCTTCTCTCATCAGTGTGTTCAATTAAGATTTGAAAGAGAGAAGCTGATTGGTTGCCCTGCACAGCTGCTCCAAATTGTCTGCTCCAGTTTTGATAAATTCCCCACAAATAATTTTTTGGACGGACTGGTTTCAGCTCATCCCAGTTCTCTTGCCTTACTACCCAGGCCTGCTTACTCTCCCATTTTTAACATAAAGGCTACATTTTGTAGTCCCCAGAGGAGGACTAGGAGTGCCAATTACTGTTTTAGACAACGCAGCAAGTGAGCAATGGACATAGGATGGCTCTGAATTTCTGACATGGTCAACAGGTTGTTTTTTTTGCACTTTTCAAACTGATTTAACGGAGCATAAAAAGGAGTTCCGTGTTAGGGTTTCCATACAATTTAAGCTATGACATGACTAGGAAGTTTAGAAATCTGAGCGGTTGCTACAAATAGTGTATATGCATTTTCTGCTGGCTAACAGCGCCACCGTTTTCAGTTTGTATTCTGTGAGATACCCACAGGTTTGCTTTTAACATGTCTTTCTCATTTTATTTGCTGAAACAGGGATACATACAGTGACAGAAGCGAGAACAGTTCTCCTGACACAGAAATTGCAGAGCTGAAATTACCAGTCATAAATCATGAATGATGCTCGGTAATTAGCACCTGTACTTATTGGCAAAGCACTTTTTATAGATCCATATGGTAGTGACATTTTTGTAGTTCTAATATAGTAATTTTTATTGAATGTAATATATATTAAGGTATGTTGCAGCTAACTAAAACACTGGTATTCAAAATAAGTCTACCAGGATTCCACCTCTACAAGACCTACATATGCTTCTTAGTGAGTTACAGATACCGTTCTTATTCCAAAGGTTCATTGAAAGGGATATTTTTTGTTGGAACTGACGAGGAAAAAGTTTGTCTGGTTACGGTCAGATCAGGCAGTGGTCTTATATACGCAGACAGCTGGCATTTCCTGGCTGAGCTTACTTGTAGAAAAAGTTACCTAGATTAAAAAAAAACAGCAATTAAGTATCCCCTCCCTGCTTGTTACAAAAGTTTCACTCGCATGAAGAAAGCATGTGCGGGGGTTTGAGCTGCCCACAAAATTTGTATTTCTATTCCGCTATTGATCTGGTCCAGTGATGGCTAACGTTTCTGAAGCCGAGTGCCCAAACTGCAACGCAAAATGAATTTATCAAGTGCCAACACTGAAAATAAGTTTGGTGTTGCAGTTTGTGCACAGGGGTTTAAAAAAAAAAAAAGTTCAGCATCACTGCCTTATGCTAAATAGGGAAACACATATTCAAGCATTTATACACTCAATAAGACATATTTGTAATGAAACACATCACATATTAAAAAAAACCTACATCACACATGTAATGAAACACGCACGTCACACACAGTTAAAAAAAAGACACTTATTAAAAACAGACTCATAAAACATACACGACTATTAATTTAAAAAAACTCTCCTGCTTACCTGTTTTGCAGGGAGGGGGTGGCATCCCCAGGGTCCAGTGGGGCACTCTGGGATAATCCTGGTGGTCCAGTGGGCGGGGAGGGGGGGAGAAATCAGTGTGATCTGCATCTCTGGCTGATGTAGACCATACTAATTGCTCCTACCTGTGAGCAGAGTGATCAGTATGATCTGCATCAGCAAGAGATGCAGATAATACTGATCCTCCACTGGACCACGACGGGATGAGTTTCATTTTAGTACATTGCCGGTTTGGCAATACGTTAAATACAATCTGGGCACCTGCCAGGTTTACAGATGGCCACTGCCATTGGCAGCACCCATCTTTAAAAACTTAACGTGACTTGGAGACTCATGGAGCACCGGAGGCCCGCGCGGAGCACATCAGGTGAGAACCTGGAGTGTGCGGGCCCCAGCAACTGGCTCCTAGGCTTACGTGCCACCAGAGGGGCCTCTGCGTGCCATAGGTTTGCCATCACTGATCTCGGCCCTTCTGTCAGGTTCTATGTTGCCCTAAGAACTCTATCTGGACCTGCTACATTGTAGCTGAACAATACAACCTTGTCTGGCATTGGCCTTAGCCTGTGATTGGATTGTGAGAGACAATGAGGACTACATTTTGCCTGTGTAAAATCATGTCTGATTATTTGAACATACTATAGTTGTATATTATTTATTCAATAAGCCTTAAAATTAATATTTTGCTTCAAAATGGCATCTAATAATTTAAGTTCACTTTCCCTTTTTCAGGTGAAGTTGTCCACCAGCTGAAGAAAGTTGTACAGTTTTTGTTTGTTTTTATTTACATGAATGATGCTGAGACCTCATTTGTTTTGTCATTTTCCTTTAAAGCCAAACATGATTCCTCTGTGTTTTGTGAAATGAATGTCAGTATCCTTTACCAGTATTATTGGATTAATCTGCCTTTCTGACTATACAGCTATTAAATCGGTGTGCTCTCTAAACAAATAAAATCTGCCATCGCCGTGCACCAGATTTCTATGCCTGACTTTACTCTACAGAATCATATAACCACAGTTGCCAATAAAGTATCCTGGTGTTTGGACTGAAGAGGGTTTAACTGTTTGTGGATTGTACATAAAAAAAAAAAAAGAACTACCCCGAAAATAAGACCTAGTGTGTTTTTTTGAGCCCAAAAAAATATAAGACTGTCTTATTTTCGGGGAAACACGGTATGTATTTTAAAAAAGAATATATATATTTTTATACATTAAGCGACTTTTGTGTAATTTTGAACTGGGTCTCCTTGCATTTGATAAATGACACTTTTAAATGACCCCATTTCTCTATTTTGTTTTTGTATTCTGTATACCTAGGGGTGTGGTGTCCTTGTGGCGATTCGCAATTTTGTGTACAAGGGTTTAACTGTACAGCAAAGAGCAGAATTAGTGAAGATTTTATTGTGCGCAAATTATTTTTGCCTTTTAAAGCAGAAGCAAAATTATTGGTCTGATGCATCTAAGAATGCAAACGCAATGCTAAAAAAAAAAATGCAGTGATGATTTCACTTATGTTGAGATATATATGTTGCTTGTCATAATGGGAAATGAATGCATAGGTTCTAGAAAAATATGACGAATAGTCTGCTGTTCTGGGTGTGTGTGAATGGTCATTGGATGTTTCCTGTAGTTTAAGTAGGGTTACTAATGGCTTGACAGATCCATTCTAACTGTCGGTCTAAGGATGTTAGCTACACCATGTTTCAGGACCATATAAATGTAGGGGGCTATACTGTACATAGGCCATAGACTCTTAAATTACCTTTTAAAACTATTTTGTAGGGTCTACTGATCCTTTATAGTGTGCAAAAACTAAACTGAAATTGCCTCCTGATGCACAGGAGTAAAGCCTAGGGTGCAGTTGGCTGTATTGCTTATCCTGCCAAAGAAATGCTTAATACAAACCTGTGCCCATACTATCCAAATACCAACTACTACAATGTAAATGATTTCAGATTTGTACTTTTGAGAATGTTACTGGTGGCAAGAGCACCCATGTACCTCAGCCCAAGAGGCCTAACTGGAGTGCTTTATATTACACCACTCCCACAACCTTCAAATCCACACCCGACAAGGTTTGGGGCTCAAAGTCCACCAAGCCCTCATACATATTTCTCAGCATGAAGGTGCACGCAATGCCTGTTGGCCTTTCCAGACAATAGGATCTCAGATTCTTGGGTGCAGGAGGTGGTTTCTAGGGGTACAAGCTAAAATTTCTCACCTCCAACCTTCCTGTGTCAACACACAGATTAGTAGATCTCCGTGTAGCCCTCTTTGGGCTGTTGAATCATGGCGCCATTGTTCCAGTTTCTGTGGCACAACAGTTTCAGAGGTTTTACTCCAACCTGTTCACACTTCCAAAAACCCAAAGGGGGTTTTTACCCAATCTTTAATCTCAAAGCACCGAATACCTTCTTTAAAGCTCAAAAATTCTGCCAGGCCTGTCATTGCCTTCTGTCCACCTTTGAGGAGATTTTGGCATATTGGATAACTGGAATCCAAGGAGGAGGCAGGGAGTAAAATTCTAGTTTGAATCCAGGCATTGGGAAAGCCCCAAGCCCACAGTTTCATAACCTAAGGTTACAGTGTCGAAAAGGCCACCGGTTCACGGGCTTGGAAGACTAGGCCTTGCAGCACAACTGTGCGCCCCACCTGGGCTTCTAACCTGAGGCCTTGGAAGGTCACGAGGAACTTAAGTGGAAGCAAAAGATTTTGCATAGGAGCCTTAAAGGAGAACTATGGGGTACAAACTAGCGTCCTCCCGTCAACCTAAGCTCAGTATACTCGCGGTATACTGAGACGCCGGAGCAGATCCCGACACCGATGTCGAGATCCGCCCAGCTGCGTGAGTGACAGCTGGCTCTGCCTATCTAGAGGCAGAGCCAGCTGTTCCAGCCTCTCCCCTGTCACGGCAGAGAGCCATGACAGGATCGAGAGGTGAGCGAACGCCTGTATCTGTTCACTCACCTCCCGATCTACTGAGCCGACCTGTGACAGTTTCATTGTCACAGGTCGGCTAAAACTATGAAGTGAGTGGAAATCACTCCTCTAACGTGCCCATACACTTCCACTTTTGGGAGCTTTTTGAGGAACCAGACGAAACTCGCAGAGTGCGCCGCTGTCTGCACCCTTGATCAGCTGATTAAAGATTTTCCGATCTATCGATCAGAGCCGGTAGCCAATGAGCTGCCCGCTCTACATTGTATTCTGAGAGGTGCTGCTGAACCCTGACAGAATATCTGACCAAACAGCGAAGATTCCTTGAGCAACACGTTGTTAGTTTTGGAGGAATAGAGTCAATTTTTTTTTTTGCTTCAGCCTGCGGGTTGAATGGGGGGAAAAAAAACAGGTCACTGATGGCCAGCCCTAGACTTCTTATGAAGGTAAAATGTACTTAATTCCACCAATGACTTCCTTGAGTATCCAAGGATTCACGCTGAAAAGGCACTTTGCAGCAAAGGGCATACGCTCTAGACCAGGGGCGCCCACAATTTTTCAGCTGGAGATCTACTTTTCGAATGATGAGATCTACCAACGAAAAAACACCTGCGTTCAGGGGCGGGAGGGGGCATGGCGGTGCATTGAAGTCAATGGCACTGCAGGCAGGCCCCTCGCCCACAGTGCGATTGCCTGCACCCGGAACCCAGCCACATTAGTGCTTGCATTCCAGTCCAGTGCGATCCGGAAAAATGCTGCAAGCACTATTTTTGCAAATCGCACTGGACCGCAATGCAGGCACTGATGTGCCTGCGTTCCAGCTGTGGGCGAGGGGCATGGCTGCGGTGCCATTGACTTCAATACAACCCCACGCCCCTAAAACGCAGGGAGTCGGCCGGCTTACATTCCAGTGCGTCCTGTCCTCCTGTAGCCGGTGTTGCACATGGGGAGAGGTGTCCCGCCCCTTTCCATCTGCAGCGTCTACCACATTAAGTCGGCGGCCGCACGAGCACCACGGGAGCATAGCCAGCTCCTCTTGCGCCCGAGGCAAGAAATAAAACCGTGTCGTCGCCCCCCCAAAACAGGTGTGTGATGTCACCCAGTGCCCTGCATCCAGGATTTTTTTCAATTTTAATTTTTTTTACTCTTGGGGCTTAGGGGAAATATCTAAAAAGCCCCCTGATATTTCCCTTTTTAAAATAGAAAAAGACATTGAGGACACAGTCCTCAATGTCTTTTTATGAAGCCTCTTTTCTAAATGAATGGAAAGCACAGAGGCTTCCCATTCATTCAAAAAATATTTACTATCATCTAGTTTCTGAATGGGAAGGAGCCTCTGTACAGAGTGCTTCTCCCCATTGAGAAACTCATGAATGAACAGGAAGTGATGTAAATCACATCCTGTTCATTTATAACTGGGGACACATAGTACTATGTGTCCGCAGTTATTTACAAACACTGGAGTGATCAGGCGATCGCTCCAGTGTTTGTCCTGCACAGAGGATTGGTACATATCACTGATATGTACCGATCCTCGGCCACGCACAGGGGGCTCTGCTTCTTCTCTCTCTCCCCTTCCCTCTCTACAACTAATCCACTAAAACAATAGCAACTATTCTCATCATTGATTAGTTGGTGCCGTGCTGCTCCTCCCCGCTGGTGCTGGCTGCAGCAGTCTGTGTCCCTTTCACAGTGAGCAGGTGCAATAGCCAGCCTGCTATTGCAATTTGAAAGATCAAATAGCAGGCCGGCTATTGCTCCCAGCAATAAATATAAATTAAAAAGTTAGTTAAAAACAAATTAAAAATAGAAAATGTTTTTGGTGTTATTTTAAATAGAAAGGTTGGTTATTTTATTATAAAACAGAAAAAATGGTAAGCGCACTACTGTGATGTTTACAGTTGATGGTATAGGGTGTGCAGACTCCTTAAGCAGGGAGAGGGACCCTGTGCATAGAGATAAAAAGGACCAGAAAAGAAGCGCTACTACCCACAGATTTATAAATATATAAAGGGATGAGGTTAAAAATAAATGAAGTGTAATTCATGAGAGACATATATGAAAAAAAAAAAAAAGGGGAAGGTGACTCACTGTTTGATGGACGTGTTGAGTCCTTGCTGGTGGAGAATGAATAGTGATGGCGGCTGATGGATAAGTTCAGCTCCCATGGCTGGAGCGTTGAGAGAGGTGCCGCTGGCTGGAAATGGCATCAGGCGGCCATGGCTGAGAACTAGATGTGTTAGAGCAGGGGTGGCAAACTCAAATTCATCGGGGGCCGCATCAGCAGTATGGTTACCCTCAAAGGGCCGGTTGTATAGGACTATGCATCTACTCTTTATTATCATAAATAGTTGCCTCTGCTCAGCAATAAAGTAATAAAATGATGTAGGATGACAGTAAGCCAGCACGTTCTTTATCTCCGGTGCCCCACTCAATATGGCCGCCGCTTGAGTGGGGCACCTGAGATAAAGAACGCGCTGGCTTACTGTCATCCTACATCATTTTATTACTTTATTGCTGTGGTCTATGTCTATAGGGCAATGCCGTGGATGGCGCTCGTGCACAACATGTTTTGTGTAAAAACCTCGTAGTTGTGAGGAAACCGGAAGTAATGTGGTCCCACAACTCGATAAGTTCGTAGTTTTGATCGATCACCGGTACCGGGACAGTGCAGGCTGCAGGAACAGCACCAGCAAGCTCCGGAAAGAGTACAGAGTAGAGAGGGCTGGGGGAGGAGGTGTTTCTCTGGCCTCCCCCACCAGCGCCCTCTAGTGTCTACTGTGTGGTAGTGCCGGCTCTAACACAGTAGACACTGCTCTGCACAGAGTCG